AATTGAGTTGTCATGATTTATTTTAAGATTAGGTATTAACCTGCTTCGAAGCAATTGGTTAAGTAGTATTTCTAATAATTTGAAGTTACAAATCCTTGGTTGAGTGTATTTAATTTCAAACAGTATTAAGCCTTTCGCGGCAGATATAAGCTTATTCTTTTGTTCGGAAAATGTATGACTATACAAATATGTTTTTGTTTCGCAATCATAGCATTTCTGATGCTTACAGACAGTCCAATTAATTCTATTTTTAGCATAACCGAGAAAAACAAATTCAAAAAAGGTTTTTTTTATAAAAATCAATTGCATGCAGAATCAAATAAAATGGAAAAGCAAACACATAAGTTTGTCATTGGGAACAAAAAAAAAATGTTGATCCTTATTTTCATATAAACAAATTAATTTCGCTTTTAATTCTATGCTTTAAATTAAACAATGTTCAATGCATTGCTTCTTTTGAAACTAATGACACCAACAATTAATAACTCAGCACGAATTGTAATTAAATAAAAGCAGCAGAAACGTAATTAAGGAGCACGGAATAACATTCTGTTGAATACAAAAAAAAAGTGGATGTAAATTTTAGTGCTTGTGTGTAATGCGAAAGTAATTAAAAATGTAGTGAATTAAAAATCTTTATGCAAATTAAAGCATAATCATCTGCTGTGCTTGTTCAGATAAAAACATACATGATGCTCAGTTTCTTAACATTTTAAGCTTTAATATTAAAAATTCAAGTTATAGCTTGATTTAAAATTGACATGTTCAAGAATTTTATCAATTTGATGAAAGCTTCTAGTTCATCATTTATTCAAAAGATCAAGCTTAATATTTTGTGCTACCTTTTTCAAAAATGTCGTACCCATCTGTCACATTTAAATGGCATTTTTATTTCATTTTTAATGTATCCTGAAATTTTTAGCACATTCAAACAAAAACATTTGCAGACTTCCTTTTATAAATATTCAACTTTCTCAAAAATTATCTACCTACAAAACCGAGCTCTAAAAAAAGCTTCTAGTACTGTCCTAATAAAAATAAACTTTCTTTAACTATCCATCTAAAGTGCGGTAATTGTGGTTTCTAATGCACATACACACATACATGCCTAGTCGGCTAAAAACTTTAATACGGCACAGTTTTTTATCTACACTTAACCACATACTACTGAAGAATAGATACATGAGAGGGAAAAAGGGTTAGATCAAACAATAAATTAATTTCCGCATTCAATAAAAGAATTATCCAACAGGGAAAAAGCTTTAAACCTAAAATCCTTCAAATCATGATGTGGTAAATGCTTTTGTGTCTTACAATCAAATCAAAATAACTCATTTTTAAGATTTTAAAAATTCTGTGAATAATTTAAAAATCAATAGAAAATAAAGAGAAAAAGGTTCGAATAAAGATATTGCAGAACACCTTTATTTGATTTAAAAATTTAAAACGGCAATTGTCTGAAGAATAATGTTTGATTCTTAATTCTATTAAATATTAATTTTAAGAGATTTTGTTGCGAATGAATTGGCAATTTTTGAAATTTTAACATTACGCATATTGTCAGTTATTTATAGTGTTTAATATTAAGGAACTTGTAGCGGTGTTGGGGGTTAAATAAAGGAAAATGGTGTAATTGGAACTGGATTTATAACTCTTGGTTGTTCTGTATGAAAGTCTTGCTCTTTATATGCGTCGAAAATTTGAACTAATGGAATCACAATAGGTCGAAAGCCATTCACAGATGAATCAAAAACTCTATAAACCGACAATGACTGCACTAATCTAGGGTTTTCACACGAAATTCTTCCAATGTCTAGTTCTAAATATGTGAAATGTCTATGAAAAAGATCATGTGTCTGAAAACTCATGTGGTCTTCATTTATTTTTCAATTTTAGTGCCAATTTTAGCACCTTTGGCTATGCCTTTAATCTAAGTAAACAATAAATGTATATATATACTATATATGAACTAAATATGTACTATTGCAATTTATTTATTGCCATTAATGTGGAATTATAGATTCACAAAATAAATTCGATGTATATTTCTTGAATGATGATAGTAAGCTGCCTCTTTCTGTTTTCCCTATCCTCTTTAGTGTGACGTTGCCTTGTCATAGGCACGGCTACAAACTTTAGAAACTCTATAAGTTTGAATTTGGGTGTAAAACAGAACTAGATGTTTATCACATGCTTATTTACTTTGCTTCACAAATCGTAAAGATCAATTGTGATTTATGACCTTTTACAGACATCTTCTGAAGCTAGACAATACTGTCATTACCCTTGCCGTCTACAAAGTCTGATTCAAAAACTTTACAAAATGAAGATCTCCAAATAACATTCCTTACCCGTCGGAGCCTGTTAACTTTAATTTGTTTCACAATATCGGCTTCTCTGACGCTATGTCTCGCTTTATTTACTTAATCGTTAAGCTGAAAAAGACAACAACTTTTTTGAAATTTGCCTAGACTTCTCAACATCAAATAACAACCGCTTGTCGCCCTAAAGCTTTAGTCTCAATTTATTCACAGTCTATGATTTTTATTTAATTACTTCTTACTATGTCGTGTTATACAATAGTATAGTATAATTACAACCATAATGAAAAGCTTTTTCATTTGAAACAAAATTTTCTAAACATGCCACGGCAATTGCTTCCCTCTCTTGCCTTTCTTATGTCAATTATTTTTTGTGAGGTAGAAAAAAATATTCACAACAAAATAAAATGAGCAACAAATTTCTTCCTTTGCTTTTCCTCTTTAATATTTGTAGTATGACTTTTGTACACAAAGAAAAGAAAAGTGAATAAAAAAGGAAAAGAAAACACGGAAATCATTCACGAAAATTAAATTGACATTAAACGTAAACCTGTAGGCGGAGTAAGGATGGAAAGGAATTTTTTTTCTGAATAATGAATTTAATTTTTCTCCTCTCTTTTTGAAAAACGATCGATTTGGTACGAGGAAGTTGGAGTATTATGGCAGCATAGTATTATTAAAGCGCTTATGCATATTAAGCGAACATTTAATCCAGTCAATGAAAAAAGTGAAAATTGATTTTCCTTGTATTTTGTTCCTCTGTTTGCTCGTTTTCAATTTCAACTTATTGATTTGTCAGTACTCAATATGCTCATGAAAGAGAAATTGTTGGCAGCTTTATAATTATATTTTTTTTTGTTCCTTTATCGTATGTCATCACTAATTGCACACTTTCGTCGAATAAAAAAAAGTTTTTAATTAAACTACGAGAATTAACTCATAAAATTGAATTGTTCCTCAAAAATTTCACAAAAGATCTACTTTTGAATTGCAAGAGAGCATCCAGCATCAAAAAAGGTCAGAGAAAAAGTTTTTCTCATGTCTTTAGCTTCGAGCTTTTGAAATGAATGAAAGGTTGGTGTGAGGAACAAAAATGCAAGGGAGAAAGCTGAAACAAGAATGAGCTTAAGTGATTATGAATGCAAGACATTCACTGCTTTTTCACTTTCGTTTTTTTTTTTCCTACTTTTTTGTTCTGTGCGATGTGTATAACAAGAGGGGAGAAAGAATGGAAAAAAGTTTAGTGAAGGAGTGACAAAAACGGAGAAAAAAGAATGTTAAAGCTTATGGCAAATGTTTTGTGTGTGAAATAGAGTGCCTGATTTGAACATATTCTAACCGGAACTACTTTTATTTTACTCAAAACGACAAATTGGTTATAATCCATGCTTTGACTTGAAAAAACATATTTACAAAGATTCATCCTGACAACAGCCGGGAATGTAATATGCCCTAGAAATGGCTGGATGATGTGTGTCATTGCTACTGTTGATACTTATGTTGTCATTTATTGTTGTTCACGTACATCGATTTATATTTTATTTGTATGAGTTTGAGATGCGTGTGTTTGTGTATATAAGTGATTAAGTCAGCAAGTGTTTGCAATATTAGAAGAGAAAAGAAGAACGAAGAAAAAATTGTATCATGTACGTAAATATGTTAAATTGGCCGCAAGGATTAGTCATTGATAGAGGTTTATTGCTATTGCTGTTGATGTTCATCGGCTTAACTATCTCATCTCACTATCTACTGATGTGAATGCTGTTTCGTCGTCTTCCTTCCATATTGTGTTTATGATAAAAAAAATAAAAGCAAAGCAAAGAAAAAATAGAGATTAGACATGATGAGGGGAAAAGTGGATATAAAATCAATAGCAACATTGACATTAATGTGAGTGCGTGGATGATACTGACTTCCAGAAGAAAAATGAAATAAAAAATTATTCAAGTCACATATTGAATATCAATTTTTCTGCCATTCTATTTGGTCTTTCTGCTCTTACTGTTAGTGGCTGTTACTAATTCTGTAATCTTATTGCGAAGTTCAATTCTTTTCATCTTAATTTTCGCTTCTTCTATTCTACATCATTTTTTTTTTGAACTAAGCACTCTGAAAATAAATATAATGAATTTTCTTTTCTGTTCTGTCTATTTCTGTAACTTGCTCTTCTGCTTCCGCAAATCCCAATGAGTTCAGTCACGTTGTTTCGTGGACAGAATCTCATCAGAACCAAAAGAAATAAACAAGCAAACAAGAGAAATCTATTGAATGGGAATGAATGAAAAGCTCATTTAATAAACGATTGCTTTCTATTGATTCTATTTGGGGCCGTTCACTTATTACGTTCGCATTTTAGGGGGAAGGGGGGGTTTGAAAAATTGTAACAAAATGTAACATAGGGGGGGGGGGGGGCTTTGAAAAATTGTAACGAAATTTAAATTTTCCACCTTTTTAATGATCAAATAATTTTTGAACGTTCAAGGGGGGGGGGGGGGGGTGAAAAAATGCATTTAGGAATTTTAAGTAATTAATTGTTTATGTGAAATATTGATTACCAATGGTATTTTGCTGATATTGTTTCAAATAATTAATTTTAAAAATCCATCAATTCCATAGTTTTTCAAAGTCATTAAAGAATGTCTGCAGAAGCTAATAATAATTTATCTTATTCTTTCACAGACTGGCTACAGTTATGGATTTGCATTCATCAATTTCATAAATGAAGAGTCAGCCTCACGTGCCATTAAATGTTTAAATGGCTATACGATACGCGGTAAAAGACTAAAAGTATCTTACGCACGACCACAAGGCGAGGATCTTAGAGAAACAAATCTCTATATAACAAATCTTCCGCGTACAATAACTGAACAACAATTAGATGTAATTTTCGGTAAATATGGACAAATTGTACAGAAAAATATTCTTAGGGATAAACTGACTGGTCAACCACGTGGCGTAGCTTTCGTTAGGTAAGTTCTTCTATACTGTAATTATTAGTTTTACATATTACTAAATAATATCACCGTTAATTGTTCTGTGACGAAAAGTATAATATGGTAATTTCATTAGTTTGCAAATTAATAAGCGGCAAATTAACATGAAAGTTTTATTTTGCATGAGTTGTAATTATAAAGCAATTATGTCTCAACATTAGTCGTCAAAGTTGTAATAGACACATTGTATTATTTATTGTGCAAGGGTTCAGAACTCTGTGCTTATGATTAATCTTCCTTTAATATTTAAAATTTGCATCATAAATTTCTTTTTTTTTTTTGTATATTTCCGCTCTCGTCCTTAAATAGATATAATAAACGTGAGGAAGCTCAAGAAGCAATAGCATCACTCAATAATGTGATACCACAAGGTGGAAATCAACCATTAATCGTTCGTGTTGCGGAAGAACACGGAAGAGCAAAAGCAGCACTCTTCCTGCCACAATACAACCAATTTGTTCAAAATAGAGGTAGAATGAGAGTTCGCAATCAACCATATTAAAAAAAATTCTATTAATATGATGATAAAACATTAAAAATATATTTATTTCGCTAATTAGTTTTTCATTGTCATCATAAAATTTAAAATGACAATTTTACTACACACACGTTTTTAAAACTTTGGTTTTATGATCTTTCTTATTTCTTTGTTTGCTGAAATATTCGGTTATTATTTGACATGATAAATAAAATTAAGTTGATATTCGCGTCATGAAACTTTTGATTAATATAATCCTTTAAACGCTTGATTATTAAATATTTTTCGTGCTTGACTAGATTTCAATATTTCTGCAATAAACTCTAATAACATTTTTGAGTATAATTAGATTTTATTGCAAATTATTGAATCCTTGATACTTGACTAATAAGATTTGTATAAATAATAATTCTGCTATTCAATTATTAAGATTGGGATAAATATTAAACTAATAGATTCTCCCAAATCTGTAATGTTTACTCACAATTTATGAAATTATTGATAATAGTAAATACCTCTGCACTTTAGAATGATTGATAAGCTCAGCTTAGAGTTGACTATTGTAACGTTTGTGAACTTATCTTGTTTGACATAATTCTTTAAATTATTGCATTCAAAATATTTGCAAAACACTTTTTTTTTATTAGCTTATAAGATATGATTTATTAGATTTAAGGCTAAATGAAATTAAAGATAATATTTCTAAATCCTGATTGATTTTTTTTTTATTTTTTTTTATACATAAAATTGGAAATTAACCCCCGGGAAACAATTCTACGAGAAATCGAATAATACAATTATTAAAATTCTAGTTCATTAAACCTTTGATGAATTTAATTATATTAATTTTAAGGTTATTCACTTTTGAAGTACAGACTTTTTATGAGTCTTAAAAAGCTATTTTTAATGAATCTTATTAGTGAATAACCTAGAAGAAAACCATTGAAGCAATTGGTTCAATTAATAAGAACAATAATTAACCAATTACTCAATTATATTTACATTGATTGGGAACTGAACTTTCGATTTCATCAATCCATATGATTTGTTTGTTTGCATTCGGTGTATTATGAATTATCTATACGACAAGGATAATTACTACATAAATGGAACTTGATTTATTACCACTTCATAATGCTAATAAAAAATATATGACTCCTTTTTATTAATATTTCACGTTTATCCTCAATTTGGATGCAAGAAAATAACTTTTTACCGGATTTGAATCGAAAATAAATCAAAAAAAAATGTGAATATGAAAGCTTAAGGAAGTTTTAAAATAATGGAAAATTTATTGATCAGCGTTCCACAAAAAAAAAATTTCAATTTGAAAAATTGCGGTAGATTGTCGCTTTTGTCATTTATTGTTACAGATTTGTGGAAAGTTAGTCTCAAATTAATATTAGCATCTCGAAAGCTTTTAAGTGACATGATAAATGTATATACAATAATTACTGAAGATAATTATCGAGTTGACAAATTCAATTTCATTTCGTGTCTGTTATCACAAAAAATGGCATCTCTTTTCGTAATTGTGACTGACTATAACCAAATTTACAAATGAGTAATAAACTTGGCAATTTTAATCGCTGGATTGAAAGAATAAAAAGTTTATAATAAATTCAAAAACGGATAAAGAGCCTCAGAAATTTATTAAGTAAAATAATGTGCACGCAAACTGCAAATTGCAACAAGAATGAAATTTAAAATTCCAAAGTAAATATTTTATGACTCGAGAAAAATGCATAAAAAGTTTTCAACCGGAAAAGTAAAAGAAAAACTTAATAAATTCTACCTTGACATCAATTTTCATCCACTTTCTTATCTTTTCTTCTTGGTTTATTTGTATTTTCTTTTAAATGCAACGAAAAATGGGAAAAACTTTAAGAAAAATTGAAATAGTCTAAGAATATCTTTAAATATCACTTGGTGTCACCAAAAGTTTGTTTTTTTTTTCACTCGTGAGAATTTGAGTTTTTTGAGCTGGGAAAATAGATGAACATAATTTTTCACTAAAGTAAATGGAAGGAGAATAGCTTGAACAGTTTCTAGAACCTTTCTTGGCGATGATACTTTAATAAAATAAGAAGATTGAAAGCTCTCAGACGCCAGTTTCAAAATAAAAGAAGGCATCAAGATGAGAAAGAGAAAATTGAAAATTAAGACATTTTGGACTTCTTGAAGGATGGAATTGAATAGTCTGAAAAGTTTTATATTTAGCATATGCTCTTGGTTTTCCAATTTTGCCACCAAACATTTGATTTGGCTGTATACTATCACCTTTCAAAGACTTATGCTCGTGCCTCTTAGAAACGTTCATTTAATAAGATGTTCAAAGGATGAAGAACTACAAATAAAAATGATGATTGACATAAACATCAATGAGATGGTACAGATGAATGAGCATAAATGAAATTCATGTGAATGTCAAAAAGAGATTGAAACTGAGTGAAGCACGTCGTTTTCACATAACATCGATGATGACAAACAAGCTGTATACATCTCCTTATATACATTTGCATAAAATTGGGAGAAAAAAAATATTTTCCGGAATTTTGTGCTCCTTTTATGCTGCATGAACAGAAAAACTTGATTGAATTTTTTTTTTTCTTCTTCAATAAACATGGCTTTGAATTTCATTGTTATTTAAATAATAAAAATGCTCATGAGAGGATTTTAAAAATGTATAAAATTGGATATTGCAAAAAAGCTCATTTTCCGATGCAGAAATTTTTGTTCTTAGATGAAAATCATTTTAATTCTTGTCTATCTTAACTTTTTTTCCCAATAGTAATGTTAGAAAAGCTAAGTTTTTAATATTAAAAGATATTCAAAATCTTCCATTTAGCTTCAAAATGAAGTCACTTTAAAAATCCCTCAAATAGTTTAAATTATTTAAAGATGTGGAACTGATCAAAAATGATAAAAATCACATTGATCAGTATCGTTTCTTTGAAAGAAGCATAAGGTTGCAATCTAGTAAATTTTAGAATTGAATAGAACCAACTTTAACTATCTTAAATCTATAAAAAATGACACTTTTATCTTTTATTTTAAAAGTCCTTCATTAGCTCTCTTAAAAATATTAAATTTGTGCACTAAACAAGCTATAAAATAATGATTAAGTGAGTGAAATTTTAATCAACTTAGATTTTAAATAATGAAAAGCTTAATAACTTATATTATAAGTAATTCAATATAATCTATTAGTATTTATTCTCATTAAGAGGAAAATAATTTTAGAAATTTGTCATTTTGAATCCTTTTAAGATTATTCCTGCCAAAAGATGGCGCGGATGTTGGTCAAAGTACTAGCTTTTATTTGTGTGCAGGAATAAAAAAGTCCTTACAATTTAGAGACACAGAAATATACAATTTTAAAAATATGGTGAACGTTGTGGAAAATATTTATGTTTATAATAGGAAATAAGTTGATGGCAGATGATTTTTTTTTTATGTCCAATGACCTATGACAGAAGTAATTTTTTGGAACATCAAAGTTTGATAACTCTCGAAATACCAAAAAAAAACCAATAAATTATCTCATTCTTCCTTAAAAGATTGAATTAATTGGAAATAATTGTTTGAAAATTATGTCAAAATGTTCTGTAGTGTGAAGCTTAAATTCAATATGACCTGAAAGAGTCTACATGTGGTCATTTGAAAACTTTGAATCAACTAAAATTCCTTAAGATACTTGATGTTACAAATATTTGTATTTTTTTCTGTAACTTTAAACTTCTGAAGATTTACAAACTACATATATTAATCAACTCAATAATAAAAGTTTTATGGAATTATTGAAGTTTAAGTAGAGAAACCAACCAGAGATTTTTTTTTTTTTCAAAAACTTTCAATTCAAAGAATTATTTGCGTTCAATAGAGCAATTCAATAGCTCGCATACTAGTTAATTTGTCGAGGATTAAATTTTAATTGGATCCGAACCTCCCAAAGGATTAGAAAAAAAGAAAGAAAGTCACTTTTATGAGATTCTTCCACCTCAAATTGAATTGAAAGTTTAGAATTTTTTTTTCAGATCAACAGAATAATAATGTTTTTTTTTTAGAGAGCAAAAGAAATATTAACTCGGGTTTCGTAAGTTTCAATTGATATAAATATTTTTTTTTTCATAAAACTGAAGTCTGTCTATTTTTTTTTATACCTGCCTACCAATTTTTTTTTTCTAGAATTCAACAAGCGAAGTGCAACAAATTCTAGTTCTGTGTAAATAAAAATGACGTGAATATAAATGATTTTTTTTTTCTAGAAGTTAATCATGCTATTAATTAAGAGCCTAAGAGAAATTTAAAACTTAAAATAAGTTAATCATCTTTATATAAATCGTCAAAACTTTTATAAATATTAATAGTGTTTGAGCCTATCCAAAAACTAAACTTAATCACGATATTCTAGAGATTATTAAAGTATTATTTTACTTAAAATCTTTAATATTACGTGATTTGTACAAATTCTATTGCGTTCCTTATAATGTCTTCATCTCCTTTTCGATACTAATTTTTCTCATTTTTTTCTTCCTTTCTTTTTTACATCCATATGGACAAATTCATCATTTGCACCAATAAACCAACGATCACACTTTTATGAAAAACATCAATCTAATGGATTTCTTATGATTCGCTACCATTTCCTCATTGCAAATTGACTACAAAATAAAAATACAAACAAAAGGCTTACTTAATACACCCTCAACATCGTTCGGGAATCTTGAGGATGGCATGATGGACGGTTTGTACAGCAGAAATAATAAATTTACGTACCCTTACTGATATTTAAGGTACTATTAGAATTTTTTGTTAAGAAACAATATTTTTCGTCTTTTTACTCGCAAATTTTTCATTTTCATTTGGAGAAAATTTCTTGTTCAACCTACGTATTCTTCAATATACCCTTCGAATCTATTCTATCCCTATTTAAATTTTTCTATACTCGTACTCATAAAGAATATTAAAGAAACGACAAACAAAAAATTATTTATACTTTGTCATCTAAATTGAATTATTAAGATACGCTACTGTCCAGCGCCCCCCTCTATATAAACTCACATATTCATAAAATGATAAAAATGAGAGGAAATTTTGCATGCATACAGAATTAAAAAAAAAATGTCATTTGCTAATTTACTGCCATTGGTGCTGCCTTAAAAAGAAATTTTTAAGAAAATTTCACATAAAATGAAAGTGAAATGTTTGTGATATTAAATAAAGATCTC